TTTTTAACTATGGCATGTCTGTAAATGAAGCTGTGTCAGTCAATTGGCATTTAAAACCATAAGACTGAATGGGGACACCAAGGGAGTGAGTATAAATAGAGAAGAAAATGAGTCCATGGATTTATCCTTGAGGAATTCTAAAGATACAAGTTAAGGGAGATGGGGTGGAACAAAAAAGCAGACTGAGAAGGAGCAGAGATATTAAGAGGAAGAAGATCATTTTGTTCTACAAGCAACTAGGAGGTAGAAGTTATGATCGGAGGTTGTAGAAATTATATCCCAATTGCTTTTCCTTTATCAGAAAATAGGAAACAAGGTTAGCAACGGAAGGAAAAGATGGAGAAAGGTGTTTTAGGTTTGAGGAAAGAGGAAAATGAAAGATACATTCTTCCAAGAAAGTAAGAAAGTGAATGGATGAGTAAATATAGTATGACTGCTGGAAAGCCTTAAGAGCTGCCTGAGTTTTGTGAGCAAGATGTAAATCAAAGCAAGTCAGCATGATTGTGCTTTTCTCTAGTGGTGTTAATCTGCATGCGTGCAGGCAAGGTACTACTGGTTATTGATTAATACCAAACAAACCACTTCAATACTTAATGGCTTAAAACCACAGCAATCATTATTTTGCTCACGGACATGAATTTTAAGCTGAGCTCAGAAAGTATTGCTCATCTCTGCTTCATGCAACATCAACTTTGGTAGTCCAAATGGTGCAGAGGACCTATTGCCAAGGTGGCTTACTCAAGACTGGTGAGTAGATGATTCCTGCCAGGATCTCAGTGGGCTGATGGTAGGATCCTTAATTCCTCTCCACGTGGGTTTTTCCAGAGGGTGTCTTGGGCTTTCTCACATCATGGCAGCTGGCTTCCAAGAGCAAGTATTCCAAGAGACCTAGGGGAAAGCTGCAAGGTTTCCTGTGGCCTGGCCTCAGAAGACTAAGAATCACACTTCTGTTGGGCAAGCAAACTACTCAAGGTTCTCTCAAGGGAAGGGTAGAACATAGGGATCTCTTTAATCTACCACACGAAGACTTAGCAGAGGTTTGGGTTTAATCAAGTTTGGGGTTTTTCCAGATTAGTACTGCAAGGAAGATTAAGACAAGAGTACATTCTTAGATTCCCAGGGTAAATTGTAATGACAAATGGTGGAATTTAATAGATGAAGGTAGGAAATAAATACAGAAGCAAAGTGATAGCCCATGGAAAATTGGTTGGACTCATGGAGTTTAGTTCCCAGTGAGGTTGAACAATTGTTGGAGAAGAATATTAATGGGAGATAGCTAAGATACAGGATGTGATGGTTTTAGGGCTGGGTGCTGAAAATTGAGATTACAGATGCGTTCTAATGGTAATAACAAGTTATATTATAATCATGATTATGAATGGTTGATAAAAGAGGGACAATTTTGAAAAGATAATAACATATAATAGAGTGAGATTTGTTCTCTGAACATTCAGAGGAGACTGACGTGAGGATTGTAGGGGGCAGAGAACAACTCTTGCAGAAGACATAAATCTGTACCCTTAGGGATTTGAAAAGGAGAACATTGGTAATAAGTAGTATAGGAGTGAAGTCATAGATACATGAATAAGAGTAGCATGTTGGTAAAAATTCTGTCTTGAATAGTGGTAGGTATCTACCATGAGCAAAGATGACTCAGAGGGCATTAAAAATCAGCAAAAGATGTTTTGGTTTTATGAAATTAGATATAAGACATCGTGAACATTTCCTAGCAGAATAGCATGTTGAAATTGACTTCTATGAAAATTTAAACTGAAGTGGTTAAAATAATAGCTATGAATAGGTACAATCTATGGCTAAGAGATTAAAAAAAAAAAGACTTTCAAAAATCCAAGTGTGAGGTGTTGAGCATCTATAAAGTGACAAAGTGGTGATGAAGAGAAAGATAAAATTTTTTCAAGAGAAATCATGTTTGAACATAATTATTGACTATGAGGCTAAATACGAGACAAAAAGTAAAAAGTACTTAATGTTCAGAATTCTAATTGACCAGGCAAATGGTGATGTAATTTGGCAGGTATAAGGAAATTGATAAGGCAGCTTTTCTGGAATATGTTTAACAAGTTGTGGTGGCAAAAAATGCACTTCAAATTTGCAAGGTATTCATTAAAATTTACCATGCACTGAGTTTTGTTTTGCTTATATATTTACCCCCACATTATTTGGAACATAATTAAGGCAGCTAACAAAGATCTGCTATGTGAAAGATATTATTTAGCTGATGTGGAGTAAGCAAAAGTAAATAACATATACATTCTACTTGAGGAATTTATAAGTAAAGTGAAGATATTTAGAAGGCAGTTGGAGGTGTTTACATTTCATGTTAAGAAAAAAACAAAAGCAACTAACATGTCTAGCATATATTGTCAGATTATTCAATACAGTTTTTTAACTGCTAGTATTGATACCTGCCAAGGAGTATGCCATGTGATGAATATAAAAAGGCAACACAAAGATAGACACACTTTCTGCCTTCATGGAGCTCACAGTTTAATAGGGCAGGGCGGAGGGACCACTGTCAATCAGATGATTACAGAAACACCATATTTCATTATTTTTAAGATGCAATTATTTTTACATTTTGACATTTCTGAAATTGGGATACTTCTTACAATCCATGGAGTCTTGCAACTATAACGAGTGGTCTTTTCTCCTTCTTGGTGTTTGCTTACAATAGCAGTGTGTTTTACAAGTGATGGTATCTTTTAAATAAAGTACATTAAATATAAAATAAATTTTATATATATATATAAAAAGGAGAGTCAGAGAGTGTTCCACTGCTTGTTTTATGGAATATGACCTTGTAGAAGAGGAAGAAAACAGCTGTGAGAGAACTTAGAAAAGAAAGAAGAGCATTTGCAAAATCTGGTGGCATGAAGGTCACAGTGGGCCAAAGGAATTAAAGGGGAGCTAGTGAGGCTAAGAGCAGGAAGCAGTGGGGATCCTCGTTCCAGAAACCAGAGCAACTGGAAGGATGCAGACCTGCAGCGTCTTATAGGATCAACTAAATACTTTGTTGTTTAGCTTTAGAGCAGTGGGAAGTTATTGAATTGTCTTAATTATGGGTTGATATGGTAATATTTGTTTTCAGTTAATATGTGTAGAGCAATGAAAGGAATGAGTAAAGAAAGAAAGAGATGGAAAAATGGGCATAGCAATGGAAATTGAGAGTAGATAAGTTTTTGTGGCCAAAAAAAAAGAAAAAAGTACCTCTAAGGATTAGTTACATCCTACTTAACTATATCTTATAGATGGACACTTAGCAATGAAGTATCTAAAATTGAAATTTTCCATTCATCTAGAATCCTGTCATTATATGTTCTACACTAGGTCACCAAGGTGTCTAGTGGCAATAAAAGTAGTCATAGTGTCAATTCTAAAAGAGATAACTGAAAGAGAATGCCCATATAGACAAACCAAATTTGGTGTGAACCTAAATGCAGGCATGGGATGTTTTTGGAGTTTCCAAGCATGTTTCTATATAATAGGACAAAGGTATCAGGGCCAAAGCAAAATCATTAACCACTATCATTAAATAAACAACTCGAAAGATGGAGTATACAACTTAGAGAATGCGCTGAGAATATTTGGCCCTGGGTATGAATAGAAATGGCATTTAACATTTTTTGAGTGCTTACTATGTGCAAGGTATAAATTTAGAACTTTTTGAGGATTTTGTTGTGTAATGTTTGCAGCAACCCAAGGCAGTAGGAACTATTATGTTCTCTTTTCTACAATAAACCAAGGCCCATAAATGTTCGTTTCCTCAAAGTCACACAGTTAATCATAGTAAATCCTGAGTTCAGGAATCGGGCCTACGTGTACATTGAAACTCTGGTTATGAGACATATGACTATAGCAGTCAACACTCATTCACACAGTATGTGTCTACTGCACACCTACTTGCTTCCAGACCTAGCAGTAGGAATGAAATCATAACTCTTGAGGTGACAAAGTACAGGTTCTCATGAACCTCACCATGTAATTCTTCATCTTGACTCTTGGAGATTTTAGTTATTTACCTTTAGTTGTTTTGCTGTAGGGCTACGGATTGTGGTACCATGTAACAATGTGAGATTTTAATTTAAGTAGCATGTACTAGCATCTTAATGTTACTATATATATTCAGTTTTATAATGTAATTGACTGAGGAAGGTTGTGGTGTTTTGTCTCATTTTTTAGCCAGCATAAATATACACTCCTTACTTTTCCAGACTCTAGAGCAACATCAAATTAATTTAAAATGTATTTCATTTTGTTTAGTTTCTCGGAAACTTTCTTGTTGCTGTTAATAGTAATTATTACTCTTTCTTAGCTCTCTGATCAGCTAGTAAATTTCACCAGTTGATCAAATTGGGCAAATGGAATAGAAATCTTAGTTACATTTAATGGTACTTAAAGTCCCACCATAAAGCAGTATTCATTTCAAATCCTTTAGTCTCTACTGTGTGAGAAATTATGTCCTCCATGTACCATTGCTATATGATACATCTTTGAAAAAACAAAAATCCACAGTCCCAGTGGCCTTATCTTGTGTGATGCTATGCTAGCATAGGCTTTCAATGTATTTTCAATATTTTAAACACTTAAAACATTCCAGTACAAAGAAAAATTGCACAGAATATAGTTTTCCATTATAGGAGCATGTTCTAAGAAACCTTCAATACTAAGTATAAAATGCAGCAAATTCTAAAAAAGAGTGGGAAACAGGAAGGAAAATAACATATTTAATATTAGGCTGGTGCTGAGATAGATCCTTCTAATAGTATAAAGAATTGAAATGCATTTTTACATAGATATGATAATGCAAAATCATGTTGCTGGCTACTGTAGCCACAATGTAAAGACATACAAGGATTTAGAATAAACGTTCTGCCTTTATTGCAAACTGACGTACCTCCTGTTCCCTCTGTATGCCTTTGTTAGGTATAGTCTTCAAGTGTTTCTTTCCCAGAGTTGTGATACATTGTGGGGTAACTTACCACTTTCTCCCAACCATTTCCACTTGGCATCAATATCTGGTTTTGTTTAAAGGTGTTGTCCATGGCTATTCAACTGTAAAAATAACTGTAAAAATAAATTTAAAAATCTTGTATCAGACACCAGCTGTGTACGGCCTGGGCAAGTCACTTACTAGTCTGTGGCCTTTTTCCGTGATGTGTGAAATATTGAAACCATATTCACCTCAGGAGTTTGTTGCGAGGACTAAATAAGATAAAGCATGCAAAGGGCATAGCACTGTCATTAGCACACTGTAAAGTATTTTAATAATTCCTCCTATTTCTTTTTTTTTTTCTATTTTTCTTTAACATCTTTTTTTTTAAAACATCTTTATTGGAGTATAGTTGCTTTACAATGGTGTGTTACATTCTGCTTTACAACAAAATGAATCAATTATATATATATATATATATATATATATATACACACATATGTTCCCATATCTCTTCCCTCTTGCATCTCCCTCCCGCCCACCCTCCTTTCCCACCCCTCTAGGTGGTCACAAAGCACCGAGCTGATCTCCCTGTGCTATGCCGCTGCTTCCCACTAGCTATCTACCTTACGTTTGGTAGTGTATATATGTCCATGCCTCTCTCTCGCTTTGTCACAGCTTGCCCTTCCCCCTCCCCATATCCTCAAGTCCATGCTCTAGTAGGTCTGTGTCTTTATTCCTGTCTTACCCCTAGGTTCTTCATGACATTTTTTTTTTCTTAAATTCCATATATATGTGTTAGCATACGGTATTTGTCTCTCTCTTTCTGACTTACTTCACTCTGTATGACAGGCTCTAGGTCTATCCACCTCATTAAAAATAGCTCAATTTCATTTCTTTGTATGGCTGAGTAATATTCCATTGTATATATGTGCCACATCTTCTTTATCCATTCATCCGATGATGGACACTTAGGTTGTTTCCATCTCCGGGCTATTGTAAATAGAGCTGCAATGAACATTTTGGTACGTGACTCTTTTTGAATTATGGTTTTCTCAGGGTATATGCCCAGTAGTGGGATTGCTGGGTCATACGGTAGTTCTATTTGTAGTTGTTTAAGGAACCTCCATACTGTTCTCCACAGTGGTTGTATCAATTTACATTCCCATCAACAGTGCAAGAGGGTTCCCTTTTCTCCAAACCCACTCCAGCATTTATTGTTTCTAGATTTTTTGATGATGGCCATTCTGACTGCTGTGAGATGATGTCTCATTGTAGTTTTGATTTGCATTTCTCTAATGATTAGTGATGTTGAGCATTCTTTCATTTGTTTGTTGCCAGTCTGTGTATCTTCTTTGGAGAAATGTCTATTTAGGTCTTCTGCCCATTTTTGGATTGGGTTGTTTATTTTTTTGTTATTAAACTGCATGAGCTGCTTATAAATTTTGGAGATTAATCCTTTGTCAGTTGCTTCATTTGCAAATATTTTCTCCCATTCAGAGGGTTGTCTTTTGGTCTTGTTTATGGTTTCCTTTGCTGTGCAAAAGCTCTGAAGTTTCATTAGGTCCCATTTGTTTATTTTTGTTTTTATTTCCATTTCTCTAGGAGGTAGGTCAAAAAGGATCTTGCTGTGATTTATGTCATAGAGTGTTCTGCCTATGTTTTCCTCTAAGAGTTTGATAGTTTCTGGCCTTACATTTAGGACTTTAAACCATTTTGAGCTTATTTTTGTGTATGGTGTTAGGGAGTGATCTAATTTCATACTTTTATATGTACCTGTCCTGTTTTCCCAGCACCACTTTTTGAAGAGGCTGTCCTTTCTCCACTGTACATTCCTGCCTCCTTTATCAAAGATAAGGTGACCATATGTGCATGTGTTTGTCTCTGGGCTTTCTATCCTGTTCCATTGATCTATCTTTCTGTTTTTGTGTCAGTACCATACTGTCTTGATGACTGTAACTTTGTAGTATACTCTGAAGTCAGGGAGCCTGATTCCTCCAGCTCCATTTTTCGTTCTCAAGATTGCTTTGGCTATTCGGGGTCTTTTGTGTTTCCATACAAATTGTGAAAGTTTTTGTTCTAGTTCTGTGAAAAATGCCAGTGGTAGTTTGACAGGGATTGCATTGAATATGTAGATTGCTTTGGGTAGTAGAGTCATTTTCACAATGTTGATTCTTCCAATCCAAGAACATGGTATATCTCTCCATCTATTTTGTATCATCTTTAATTTCTTTCATCAGTGTCTTATAATTTTCTGCATACAGGTCTTTTGTCTCCTTAGGTAGGTTTATTCCTAGATATTTTATTCTTTTTGTTGCAATGGTAAATGGGAGTGTTTTCTTGATTTCACTTTCAGATTTTTCATCATTAGTGTATAGGAATGCCAGAGATTTCCGTGAATTAATTTTGTATCCTACTACTCTACCAAATTCATTGATTAGCTCTAGCAGTTTTCTGGTAGCATCTTTAGGATTCTCTATGTATAGTATCATGTCATCTGCAAATACTGACAGCTTGACTTCTTTTCCGATTTGGATTCCTTTTATTTCCTTTTCTTCTCTGATTGCTGTGGCTAAAACTTCCAAAACTATGTTGAATAAGAGTGGTGAGAGTGGGCAACCTTGTCTTGTTCCTGATCTTAGTGGAAATGGTTTCAGTTTTTCACCATTGAGGATGATCTTGGCTGTGGGTTTGTCATATATGGCCTTTATTATGTTGAGGAAAGTTCCCTCTGTGCCTACTTTCTGCAGGGTTTTTATCATAAATGGGTGTTGAATTTTGTCAGAAGCTTTCTCTGCTTCTATTGAGATGATCATATGGTTTTTCTCCTTCAGTTTGTTAATATGGTGTATCACGTTGATTTGCATATATTGAAGAATCCTTGCATTCCTGGAATAAACCCCACTAGATCATGAAGTATGGTCCGTTTAATGTGCTGCTGGATTCTGTTTGCTAGTATTTTCTTGAGGATTTTTGCATCTATGTTCATCAGTGATATTGGCCTGTAGTTTTCTTTCTTTGTGACATCCTTGTCTGGTTTTGGTATCAGGGTGATGGTGGCCTCGAGAATGAGTTTGGGAGTGTTCCTCCCTCTGCTATATTTTGGAAGAGTTTGAGAAGGATAGGTGTTAGCTCTTCTCTAAATGTTTCATAGAATTCGCCTGTGAAGCCAGTTGGTCCTGGGCTTTTGTTTGTTGGAAGATTTTTAATCACAGTTTCAATTTCAGTGTTTGTGATTGGTCTGTTCATATTTTCTATTTCTTCCTGATTCAGTCTTGGCGGGTTGTGCATTTCTAAGAATTTGTCCATTTCTTCCAGGTTGTCCATTTTATTGGCATAGAGTTGCTTGTAGTACTCCCTCATGATCTTTTGTATTTCTGCAGTGTCAGTTGTTACTTCTCCTTTTTCATTTTTAATTCTATTGATTTGAGTCTTCTCCCTTTTTTTCTTGATGAGTCTGGCTAATGGTTTTTCAATTTTGTTTATCTTCTCAAAGAACCAGCTTTTAGTTTTATTGATCTTTGCTACTGTTCCCTTCATTTCTTTTTCATTTATTTCTGATCTGATTTTTATGATTTCTTTCCTTCTGCTAACATTGGGGTTTTTTTGTTCTTCTTTTTCTAATTCTTTAGGTGCAAGGTTAGGTTGTTTATTCGAGAGGTTTCCTGTTTCTTAAGGTAGGATTGTATTGTTATAAACTTCCCTCTTAGAACTGCTTTTGCTGCATCCCATAGGTTTTGGGTCGTCGTGTCTCCATTGTCATTTGTTTCTAGGTATTTTTTTATTTCCTCTTTGATTTCTTCAGTGATCACATCGTTATTATGTAGTGTATTGTTTAGCCTCCATGTGTTTGTACTATTTACAGATCTTTTCCTGTAATTGATATCTAGTCTCATAGCATTGTGGTCAGAAAAGATACTTGATACAATTTCGATTTTCTTAAATTTAACAAGTCTTGATTTGTGACCCACGATATGATCTATCCTGGAGAATGTTCCATGAGCACTAGAGAAAAATGTGTATTCTGTTGTTTTTGGATGGAATGTCATATAAATATCAAATCCATCTTGTTTAATGTATCATTTAAAGTTTGTGTTTCCTTTTTTATTTTCATTTTGGATGATCTGTCCATTGGTGAAACTGGGGTGTTAAAGTCTCCTACTATGAATGTGTTACTGTAGATTTCCCCTTTTATGGCTGTTAGTATTTGCCTTATGTATTGAGGTGCTCCTATGTTGGGTGCATAAATATTTACAATTGTTATATCTTCTTCTTGGATCGATCCCTTGATCATTATGTAGTGTCCTTCTTTGTCTCTTGTAATAGTCTTTATTTTAAAGTCTATTTTGTCTGATATGAGAATTGCTACTCCAGCTTTCTTTTGGTTTCCATTTGCATGAAATATCTTTTTCCATCCCCTCACTTTCAGTCTGTATGTGTCCCTAGGTCAAGTGCATCTCTTGTAGACAGCATATATACGGGTCTTGTTTTCTATCCATTCAGCCATTCTGTGTCTTTTGGTGGGAGCAGTTAGTCCATTTACATTTAAGGTAATTATTGATATGTATGTCCCTATTCCCATTTTCTTAATTGTTTTGGGTTTGTTATTGTAGGTCTTTTCCTTCTCTTGTGTTTCTTGCCTAGAGAAGTTCCTTTAGCAGTTGTTGTAGAGCTGGTTTGGTAGTGCTGAACTCTCTCAACTTTTGCTTGTCTGTAAAGGGTTTAATTTCTCCATCAAATCTGAATGAGATCCTTGCTGGGTAGAATAATCTTGGTTGCAGGCTTTTCTCCTTCATCACTTTCAATATGTCCTGCCACTCCCTTCTGGCTTGCAGTTTCTGCTGAAAGATCAGCTTTTAACCTTATGGGGATTCCCTTGTGTGTTATTTGTTGTTTTTCTCTTGCTGCTTTTAATATGCTTTCTTTGTATTTAATTTTTGACAGTTTGCAACTATAATCTCTTCAAATATTTTCTCAGTCCCTTTCTTCTTCTCTTCTTCTTCTGGAACCCCTATAGTTAGAATGTTGGTGTGTTTAATGTTGTCACAGAGGTCTCTGAGACTGTCCTCAGTTCTTTTCATTCTTTTTTCTTTATTCTGCTCTGCAGTAGTTATTTCCACTATTTTATCTTCCA